TACAAAATATTGAAAAGCAGTCACACAAATATTACATATGATGGTGATAAGTTATTGAATTATGAAATATCATAGAAAATATATTTCATCGAGCGCGAAACTCCAAAAAAAATTTACATAATAGGGACAGAGATCACGAAGATTTGTGCGAGAATGCTGAATTCTTCATGTATATTGCCATTGATCGACTGGATGAACGATAATTCCTTGACTACCATATGCATAACCTGGAAAGAATGAATAAAATTTGTTGAATCGATAGATGTGAATACCAAAAAGTTTATCCGTGACTCTTCAACGTTGTTGTTAAACCAAATGGAAAAAAGAGAGGGTCTCGGTTTGGTGCACGGCACACCCACCTCGACAGCGAATGTCGGAATATTCATTTTATTTCTCGAATAAAAATCACGATGATACCGTTAATGCTGCCTAAATCCTAAAAGTATTACGTCTTGGATGCGGAATTACCATTTCGCGACTTTTTTCAAACATTTCGTTTATTTTCTAAGAACACAGAGAAATGTTCTCATTAAACAAGAGATTTGAAAACATAATTCGCGTTTTTGAAATTCTAATTTACGATATTAAAAAATCATAAATTACGCGATTTTTCGCGGTACGATTTCAAAGGTAAGCGGAAGAAATAGACCAGGAAAAAATGGCGCACACATCCAGAACGTGTTAAAACCCAGCCAACTTAATAGACCAAAGGAAAATTTCCATTGGTCTATTTTTTCAGGGATTTGAGTTCAAAAGTGTAAATTATGTTTTCAAATCTCGTGTTTCACGAGAACATTTCTCGGTGTGTAGAGTACATGACGACAAAGTCTCAATGAGCTATGAACAACATAGTCCGTGAAATTAACAATCAATGGCGTTATCGACTTGACTCGATTGATCATGCCTGCATAAAATCAAGAAGAAATTTTCCAAAAAACCGCTACCTGGCACCTCTGCCCCTCATGAAAAACGGTATATATGCAAAATGTATATTAATTATCCGCACATCTATTCGGTATATATCTGATACATACATGAAATATATTTGCGGCAAAAAATGTAATATATGCCATATATGTGACACAAAATTATTAGCATATATATTGTTCCGTGAGTGCCTCTGGACACCCACATTTCCTATCGTCACTAGATTTTCGAGAATATTGGATGTGGCTGTAAAATTAGATAAGTATAAAACATGAAATACGAACTGTATCTGCGGCTGTCAGGTTGATTCCCAAGCCACCGGCTCTGGTGCTCAGCAGAAAGACAAATATGTCCGCCCTGAAACATGAAACAAAAAGCCCAAACGCAGATTCAGTACTGCGAGCAACGAACTCAACTAGCATTATATTTGCATGTAAATTAATTCGAGTATTCCGTTCATGCACTTGACGGTTTTCCACCCTGGGGCGGAAGGTAAACGGTTAAAGACCCGCCTGATCGTACTCAAGATTCGGCACCACTCCCGCTCCCGCTTTACTCAACATTTTTTTTTCTCCCATTACCTCGTTGAGTTATTGCTTGCACCCGTAATATAACTGTAAAACGATTTGGCTAGGACGAGAATGTTTATGACATTTTATGTACGTCTTGAAAAATTTATTGTCAAGGATAAAAGCTTTATTTAGTGGTGGCAAATCCTTAAGGACGTGCCCCCTCTCAGCCAAAATTACCGGTTTGTTGTTTTCTGGCGAATTGTTGATCTACTGACCGAAAATGCCAGGATCCTCCAATAATTTTGCTCCGTTTTT